CAGGAGTTGGAGGTTGCTGTGAGCTGTAATGCCATGGCACTCTACCCAGGGGGACAGCTTGAGGCTCTGTCTCAAAAAAAAAAAAAAAATTCTGTATTTTCACCCTGCTATTCTAAATGCCTCATCTAGTCTTAAATACTAACAGGGAAAGTCATGATCATGAGCAAAGTAACCTACTTTGGCAAAGTGTCATACTGTATGTAATACGCAAACAAACTTATCTGATCCATCTCAGATTTATTATAAATCCTACAATTTGGAAATTCATTGCATGCTCTACAGAATCTAAACAGGAAGGTACATAAGAAAGGAAGATCTGCCAGTGAAGTAGGTGGCCTCCCTGGAATTTTGGAGGAGAATCCAATTTTATTGTGGATTAGCTGAACCAGTTAGGACTTTGTATAGCTAAAAACCAAAAGGGCAATTCAAACTGATTTGATGATGGGGGGATTTAATGGTGTATAGAACTGAAAAACCAATCAGATGAAACTTGACCTTGGAACTCAAGTAGAACCTGGCTTCCCCATGTCTCTCCATTTCTCCTCTGTGTTGCTGGCTCCATCCTTAGACTATCAGTGGCCTCCCCAGCAACTCCAACCTGCCCTCATGGCAGTAAAATGGCAGCCACTGCTCCAGACCTCACAACCTCATACTATAATCCCCAGGGGAGGAGAGAATGGCTCATTCAGTAGCTCCTAGATGGGTCCCAGAGTAACTGTCTCTGAACTCATTAGCCCAGTTTAGGACACATGCCCATCTTAACCCAGTCACAATGGCCAGTGGTTGTCTCAAGCCAAGGAGAAGTAACTAATGTATATCCACTATCTCAGAGGACAATGGGTAATATCAATAGTTTTTTTTGAGACTGCCTTAAAAAAATTGTTTTCTGGGGGCAGCACCTGTGGCTCAGTGAGCAGGGCGCTGGCTCCATAAACTGAGGGTGGTGGTTCAAACCCAGCCCCAGGCAAACGTGCAACAAAAAAAATAGCCAGGCATTGTGGTGGGCGCCTGTAGTCCCAGGTACTCAGGAGGCTGAGTCAAGAGATTCGCCTAAGCCCAAGAGCTGAAGGTTGCTGTGAGCTGCGATGCCACAGTACTCTACCGAGGGTGACAAAGTGAGACTCTGTTTCTAAAAAAAAAAAAATTATTTTCCCCTAAATTTTTCATTTTAGGCCGGGCACGGTGGCTCATGCCTGTAATCCCAGAACTCTGGTAAAATCA